TTTTTTTGTAACTGACATTGTCAAAAAAAACCACACACACACATCCCTTTGACCCTTTTTTGTATATTCAAGTGCGTGACGATTGGATTCCCGCATCGCGCATTGAATGGGGTTGCAAGGCGCGAGATAGTGACATACAATATAAAAGAAGAGAGAGAGAGAGAGAAAGAGTGAAAAAAGAGGTAATGAAATATAACGATATGAAAATAAACCCTCGCCAACGTTACCCCCCTTGTATACAATATATATGTGCAAAAACCGTTTTTGATCTCCCGCGTACTACGTTTAACCTATAAAAAGCCCCTATTTTTTGACATGTACCCCTCTCTGCCCTTATATAATAATAATTCAACCCTCTGCACACCGCGAAATGATGGCGATCGCATTCAAGTCATCGACCTAATGACATAGGTGTGTGTGTGTGTGTCTATGCCAGTTCCCTGTCGTTTGGCACTTTTTATCCCTTCATTGTATTTTTCATCATCCACTTTCCACCCCATTTTTTATATATTCGCGATGACCCCACATGTAGTTTTTTTTTTTTTTTTTGGGTTGTTTTGTTCAAAACTCTTCAATATTTAATTCTTCTATGATTATCGAATGCTTTTTTTGTACCACTTTTTATATATATATATAATTTTTGACTAATTATATACTTTCATGCAGGTAATTAGTAAAAAAAATTCCCCGGGAAAATTTTCAGGAAATTCTATTTAGAAATTCCATCAAGTTTCCATGGAATTTATCCATATAAATATTTATTTATTTTTTTTTTATCAAATTTTCATGGACTTTTCATCAATTTTCACGGAAATTCCATCAAAAGTTTACATGGAATTCCCATGGAAAGTCTATGTCAATTTTGATGGAAAGGGGAAATTCCGTTATGAAAAGTAAACGGAATTTTATTGGAAATTTTTTTTTCCTTCGAAAACTGAAAAGAAATTCCAACGAAATATCCATGCAGCGCGTTTTCCGCATATAATTTTTTCAAGTTAAAACTGATGGGTAATATATAGCTTTTTCTTTCAGAAATTAAAAAAAAAGTTATATTTAGACTCATTTAGTCATCCCGCATATACTTAATTCGTGATATTCTAGACTCTTTTATTCAATCCTAATGATCTACCGCCAGAGATTCATCAGTCCTTGTCAGTCAACATTTTGTGTGTGACACTGCGATTAGAGCGCTAGGCTCTGTGCTTTAATCCGACTTATCGAAAATACTCGCCCGGACACATCAGTTCACAGATATATACTTCTACACTCGCCTCATGCCATCATTAAATATATTTTCTCCCGCTCCCCTCAACACATTTTGAAGATATTTCCATTAGTGAAATTAACTTTCAGCGCATATTATATATATATATATATATATTTGTCAAAGAGACGGAGGCGGGACATCTGGAATTTGTCTCCTGCTTTTTTCCCTATAACGACGAGAGTCAAATTTTAGTCAAATAATGCTAATCAACTGTAGAAACTGAGAAAAATAAACAATCACACATCTATAGTATTTTTGCCAAAAGCGCATACAAAATTATTATTGACTCAAAAGTATATATCTTTTAGAATTTGTAAAATATGATATAAATTCTTTAGCATATATATGCTTTTATAATATTTTTTTAAAGTGTTTTGGTGAAAATATATACTGTTGATTTAATATAGCCAGAACCTCAAAATTTAGATCAAGGATCAAGAGGCGAACATAACCTCAAAATTGAAATCAAAAGTCATAAATTAAAAGACGACATAACCTCAAAATCAGATAAATTTTAGGTCAAAGATCAAGTCGATTATGCAATTCCACTTCTATTCCCACTTCCACTTTTTCTAATTTTCATTTTCATTTTCATTGCCATTTCCATTTCTACTTCCATTTTTCTAATTTCCATTTCTAGTACAATTTTCACTTCCACTTTTTTATTTTTATCCACACTTTTATTTCTACTTCCACTTTTTTTGATTTCCAATTCTATTTCCATTTCTACTTCCACTTTTTCCAATTTACAATCCCATTTCCATTTCTACTTCCACTTTTCTAATTTCCATTTTCAGTACAATTTCCACTTCCATTTTTAGGGTTCCGTACTCGGTTCGGAACCCTATTAATATCGGTTTTTTTGAAATCGTGTACCCCCCCCCTAGCGGCCACATAAATTTATCTGGAGGGCTGAAGATTAGTACACATATGTATTTTCGCGTGTAGATTACAGGAAAATTATAGCGAACTTGATTGGAATTGATTAACATAGCGTTGTCAAGGAAAAACCATGAATTTTTACGAAAAATGCCTAAAAATGACTATGTACCCCCCCCCTAGCGGCCACATCTTTTGACATAAAGAGCTCAAATTTGACACACTTACGTATTTTTACGTGAAAATTACAGGAAAATTATAGCGAACTTGATTCGGATCAATTTACATAGCGTTGTCAAGGAAAAATCAAAAATTTCGAAAAAAATAATTTATTCTCCCTAGCGCACACAATATTCAACCCAGACAGATCATACTTGCTGTAAAACTCAATTTTTGCGTGAAAAATACAGGGAAAAAATGTAAGCGCGATTGGAGTTGATGATCAATTTTTATCAAATTTTTGAAGAAAAATGATAAATTTCAGAAAAAAATGTATTTTTCCGCAAAAAACGAAAAAAGTTTTTCTACAGTGATTCAAATTTATATATTTTGACGTATTTTTACGTGTAGATTACAAAAAAAATATAGCGAGGATGATTGGAGTTGATTTTTCTGGAATTAATAAACAAATTTTATTTTTTAGATAACTTTCGATTTTTCCTTGACAAGCAGCTACTAGCCTTATATCAATATCTTAAGTTTTATCTCTTTTTGACTTAGAAAGATAAAATTTAATATTCAATATATTTTTAAAATGTAAATACAATAAAAATATTGCGAGTTGAAATAAAATTATGTTTCTTATATTTTTTTAGTAAAATATTTTTTAAAAAATAAAATCGGACAAGTGCGAGTTACACTCGCACTGAAATCGAGGGTTCCGTACTCGAAGCGAACTTATTTGGTATAAAAACAAATGTTTAAAAAATATGTGTTGTATGACAACTAATATAAGTGGTACAAAAAGGAACAATTTTGTAAAATTCAAGAAAATTGTTCCTTTTTGTACCACTTATATTAGTTGTCATACAACACATATTTTTTAAACATTTGTTTTTATACCAAATAAGTTCGCTTCGAGTACGGAACCCTCGATTTCAGTGCGAGTGTAACTCGCACTTGTCCGATTTTTTTTATTTTCATTCCCACTTGAAGTTTCACTTTTTCTAATTTTTCTAATGTAACTGGGAATAAAAATTAAAAAAAATGGAAGTGGAAATAGAAGAGGGAATGAAAATTAAACAAAAGCGGAAGTGGAAATGGAAATAGAAATAGAATTGGAAATTAAAATTAAAAGAGGTGGAAGTGGGAATGTAAATTAGAAAAAGTGGAAATGTAACTTTAATATTTCTACTTTTCATTGCTACTTCCACTTTCACTTCCAATTTTCCCGATTTTCCCTCCCACTTTGTTTTTACTTCCATTTTTATCTCTATTTTCTTCCAATTTCCATTCACACATTTCCACTTTTTCCAATTTCCATTCGAATTAAAATTAACCAATCAAAAATTATTATTAAAATTGTGGGAAGGAGAAATTGGTCTAACTGAAGAAAGAACTGTGAATTTAAATTGCAAAAAGTTAAATGGAAGTTGGAATGGAAATTGAAAAAGTGAAAATGGAAATGACAGTAAGAATAAACGGTAAAATGGAAATTAGAAAATGTAGAAATGGAAACTGGAAAAGGTAGAAGTGAAAATGGAAATGGAAATTAGAAAGAGATGAAGTGGGATTGAAAATTGATAAAAATGGAAATGGAATTGGGAGAGGAAATTAAAAAAAGTTAAAAGGGTATTAGAATTGGAAATTAGAAAAAGTGGAAATTTGATAAAGTGGAATTAGAAAAAGTGGGAATAGAAGTGGAATTGAGCAATTGTTTCCCCTGGGGGTCGATTATGTATAATTCCACTTCCATTCCCACTTTTATTTTAACTTCCACTTTTTCCAACTTCCAATCCTAGTTCCCTTTTTAGTAGAATTTTAACTTCCACTCTTCCACTTTTTTATTTTCATTTCCACTTTCATTTCCAGTAGAATTTCCACTTCCATTTTTTTTTTTCATTCACACTTGCAGTTCCACTTTTTCTAATTTTTATTACCACTTCCACTTTTTCTAATTTTCCTAATGTAACTGGGAATGAAATTTAGAAAAAATGGAAGTGGAAATGGAAATTAAAATAAGTTTAAGTGGGAATGGAAGTGGAAGTGGGAATGAAAATTAAAAAAGTGGAAGTTGAAATAGAAATGGAAGTGGGAATGAAAAATAGAAAAGGTGCTGGAAGCGGAAAAGGAAGTGGAATTAAAATTAGAAAAAGTGGAAATGGAAATAGGAATGGAAATGGAATTGTATTATCGACCCCCTCTATACAATTTTGCTTTCAATTCAATTTCTCTAGAAAAGAATAAATTTTGGACTATTATAATTTGGCAAAATAGCCACAAAAATAGTGAAAATAATAAAAATAACAATATAAAATTAATAACAGTAAAAATAATAATCTGGAAATTCAATTCCCACGTGGAAAGATTCCAATGAAAGTACTCCTGGGAATTTCCGCAGGAATTCTTATTGGATATTCCGACGGTATTTCGATTGGAAATTCCGATGGAATTTCGATTTTAATTTCGATTAGAATTCAAATTACAGTTGGCATTCTGTCGGAATTTCGAATAAGAATTCCTGCGGAAATTCCCAGGAGCACATTTCTTAGAATCTTTCCACGTGAATTGTCACTGAGTCGAACATACAAAAACGTGTTAAAAAGGGGAAAAGTTGTTTTTTTTTTTATTAATTTCTATCAATTAAAAAAAAACCCAGTGACCCACTAAAATAATTTTTTTTTTCTGATTACAGAATTCGTATCCAGAATGATGACTGAATTGAATTAAGAAAAGAGAGCAGATTAAGACATCTTCTTTTTTTTTTTGTTTGTTTGTGTGTGTGTGTGAGATAAAAATCGCCTAATGGCGACTGCAACAATGGGTTTACGACGACGAGTTACTGTGACTAATTCACCCACACCAATTCAATCATCCGCCTCAACGTCGTCGTCGTCATCATCATCAACATCGTCCAACAAACGTTCAAGATCTGAGAATAATAATAATCCCTCGCAGGGTAATCTTAATTCAATGAATGAACCACCGGCAAAAAAATCACGTGGTACATCAACAAAAAACAATGACAATAGTGGAACAAAAGGTCGTACAACATCAAAGGGAAAAAATAATTCAACAACAACATCATTGATGAATCTTGATAACGCAAATTGTCATCAAACATCATCTTGGCCAACCACATCGACAATACCAGTTGATCAGGTTTCCTATGCGAATGTCACTGGTTTAAACGTGACTGGTGGTGGTGGTCAATCAAGTCTCTGTACTGGTAACCTAGGTATGCCATCGCCAATTCCATATATGGCAACGTCAATGGCGACATTTGTTGGGAACGCGACAAATCTTGGTAAAAGCTCATCAGTATCGTATCTTGACATTTCAAATATGACCAGTGGTTCGCTTGGTACAAATGCCTCAGGTGTTTCTCTCAATTCCAATCCTACTGCTGGTTATAATATGAAATCAGTAACAACTGGACATGATGTGAAAAATTGCACATATGTCAATAATAATAATAATAATAATAATAACAATAATAATAGTAATAATATGAATGGTACATTTAAAAATCCAGCACGTAACAATCAAACGACAATTGTTGAACAAGTTATGAATTTACCGAAAAAATTTCAAAATGACGCAATGTACGATACTTATCAGCCGTGGGTGATTAAAACTTATGGCGATTTAGCAAAGACAAAAACAATAACAATTAAAAAATATGCGCGTATATTGAGAACATTGAGAGGTGAGGAGGTTAATAGTGCTGAGAATAGTAAATTTCGTTTTTGGGTTAAAAGTAAGGGATTTCATATTGGACAACCGGATGGTTATGATGCAAAGCCGGCTGATCGGATTATTGGACGACATGCTGTTACTAGTCCTGGACTTGATCCGCCGCTTTATGTACCGACGCAGCCACCTCATAATAAGGTAAGATTTGTTTTTTTTAAGGTTTCACAAATAATTGGATTAGTTTGAATTTTACATTAATTTTTTCTAATATTACATATGTATACGGTACGTATATAATCAGGGATATACTTGAGATATATTTTGAGAAAAATTGCATTTCAAAAATATCTTAAGGGAGGAAAATTAATTTTTCTAAGGGAGATAATCCTATTCCAATTTTTATTCTCCGATGTCCCTGGGATATAGCAAAAAAAAAAATTCTAAGGGGAAAAATTTACATATCCCGGAGATATTCCAGGAATTTACCAGGGAGTCGATAATGTAAATTTAATTCTATTTCCACTTCCTTTACCATTTCCACTTCCACTTTTTTTAGTTTTCATTCCCTCTTCCACGTTTTCTAATTTTTATTCCCACTTTCATTTTTTCTAATTTTTATTTCCACTTCCACTTTTTCTTATTTTCATTCCCACTTCCAATTCCACTTTTTTTTATTTTTACTCCCACTTCGATACCACTTTTTTAATTTCCATTTCCTTTCCACTTAAAAAAAGTGTGAATAAAAGTAAAAAAGTCGAAGTGGGAAGAAAATAAGAAAAAGTGGAAGTGGAAATATAAAAATAAAGAAGTGGAACTGGAAATTGTACTGGAAATGGAAATTGGAAAAATGAAAGTGGAAATTGTACTAAAAATGGCAATTGGAAAAGTGGAAGTGGAAATTATGCAGGAAATGAAAATTGGAAAAGTGGAAGTAGAAATGGAAGTAGTAATGAAACTTAGAAAAAGTGGAAGTGAAAATTGTACTAAAAATGAAAATTCTAATTTCCACTTCCACTTTTCCCAATTTCCAATCCCATTTCCATTACAACAATTTTTTTTAATTTTCATTCCCTCTTCTATTTCCACTTCCATTTTTTTTAATTTTTTTTCCCAGTTACATTAGAAAAATTAGAAAAAGTGAAACTTCAAGTGGGAATGAAACTTAGAAAAAGTGGAACTGATAATTGTACTGAAAATGGAAATTCTAATTTCCACTTCCACTTTTCCCAATTTCCAATCCCTTTTTCATTACAACTATTTCCAATTTCCATTACCACTTTCATTTTTTCTAATTTCTATTTCCACTACCCTTTTAATTTTTTATAATTTCCTCTCCTATTTCCATTTCTACTTCCACTTATACCAATTTTCAATCCCACTTCATCTATTTCTAATTTCCATTTTCATTCTTAATTCTACCTTTTCTAGTTTCCATTTTCACTTTTATTTACATTTCCACATTTTATAATTTCCATTTTACCATTTATTCTTACTTTCATTTCCATTTTCACTTTCCCTATTTTCATTCCAACTTCCATTTAACTTTTTGCAATTTAAATTCACAGTTCTATTTTTACTTTATCCAGTTTTCCCTTTCCACAATTTTATTAATAATTTGTGATTGGTTAATTTTTAAATTTAAGTGGAAATTGAAAAGTGGAAATGTAAGTGTGAATGGAAATTGGATGAAAGTAGAGAATAAAATGGAATTAAAAATAGGAATCATAAAAGTGGTAAAGAGGAAATAGGAAAATGTGGAAATGGAAGTAGAAGAACAGGGAGTGGAAATCGGAAAAATTGGAAGTTGCAATAAATTAGAAAAGTGGAAGTGAAAATTAGTAAAGTGAAAGTAGGATTAAAAATTATGGAAAGTGGAGGTAGAAATGGAAGAGACAATGGAAATTATTAAAAGTGGAATTGGAAATTAGAAAAAAATTTAATTGGAATTGTAAAAGTGAAAATGAATGTGGAAATGGAAATTGGAAAAGGTGGAATTGAAAATGGAAGTGGAAATTAGAACAATAGGTAGCGGGAATGGAAATTGAAGTATAGGAGTAGATATTGGAAAAATGGAAGTTGAAAGGAAAGTAGGAATTAAAGTGGGAATGAGAATTTCGAAAATTTGGAAATAGAATTAGGAGAAAAAAATTGGAAAAAACTGTAAATTGAAGTGGGATTAGAAATTAGAAAAAATAAAGATGAAAATGAAAGTGAAAATGGAAATTACAAAAAGTGGAGGTAGGAATAAAAATTGTAAAAGGGAAAGTATAAATTAGAAAAAATTGAAATAGAAGTGGGAGTGGAAATTTAAAATTTTGGAAGTGGAAATGAAAGTGTCAATGGAAATTGGAAAAGGTGAGAATGGAAATTAGAAAAGTGTAAGGGGGAATAGAAGTGGAAATGAAACTGGGAATGAAAAATTGGAAGTGTGAGTAAATATTGGTAAAGTGGAAGTGGAAATAGAAGTATGAATGAATGTGGGAATGGAAGTTGGAAAATGGTAGAATTGAAAATGGAAGTGGAAATTAGAAAAAGAGGAAGTATATGGATATTGGTAAAAGTGGAAATGGAAATTGAAGTGGGAGAAAAAATTAGAAAAGTCGAAATGGGAATGGAAATGATAATAATGAAAATTGGAAAAAGTAGAAATTGAAGTGGGAATGGAAATTTGAACGAAGTAGAAATTGAAGTGGAAATGGATTTACACAATCGATCCCTATAGGAATATCAAACGAGACGAAAATTGATTTAACTAAAGAATAATTCCTCTTGTTCTAAACACATATAAAAATCACTATACTTAGCGTTTTTTGTAGTCGCTGATTCCGAATCTGGTATCAAATTTTAATAATCCAAAATGGCAGATCTAATATGTCGGACTTTTTTTTTTAATTTTATCGAATTCGATTTAAAATCATAACTCGGCATTTTTTTTGCGATCACTGATTATTTTAACAAAGTGTTGTTAAACCAATAATAATAATTATTATTATAAAAAATATTTACAATAAAGAAAAAATTTATTTTTTCTTCAAAAACATTTAATCTCCTTTCAATTGAAAGTTTAAATATTGAATAAAAAAAAAAAAAAGAAAAATTGCATCAATCTTGACAAATATTTGTTGACCTGTCGCGATAGCGCGATATTAATTGATGTTTGATTTTTAAAAAAGAAAAAAAAAGAATTGTCAACTTCTTTGATATAGATATATATATATACATAGTTGATAATGTGGGTTAACGACAGTGCGCAAAGCAATACGGTTATAGAGAGTGTCATTGGAATCCCTCTCGACAACGACGACGACGACGACTTGGACAAAGCGATTAGTTCCGAGCGATCGCGTTCGATCCACGGGAAAAGTCGAAGAGTCGTTTCAGAGGATGATAAAAAAAAGAGAAAAGAAAAAAGGAAGGAAAAAAAGAGGGAGAAACGTTTATATATATATATATAGTAGAGCGGGAAGCTTTAGGGAATTCTCAAGACGACGTTGTATATCTTGCATTCCCCAGGGGAATCCATATCTTCTTCTCCTTTTCCAAGAGTGGATATATTCTCCCTCTTTTCGCATTGCCCACAACGCGATAGCCAAGCTCTCTCCTCTCTCATTTTCTGTCTCCTTTTCTTTCTCTTTTCCTCTCTCTTTCTCTCTCTCTTTCTTTTCTTTCTATATAGGTAGTGATGTAAACCATCACGAACGAGGCCTTTGAGAATCACTTGGGCTCTCGTTAATAAACGATCCTACATATCATCAAAATCTAATATAAAAAAAAAGAAAAGATACTCTGAGATTTTATAAGAAAAAAAGAAATGTAACTTCGATGGACCGCAGGGAAAAAAATCTTCATCTGAAACAGCATAATAATTTTCACTGGAACAGCGATTTATTTCACTAGAATAGAGAAAATTTTCGCTATTTTCGTCATAAATGGAAATGGAATTCCAAAGAAATTTCCTAGGTTTCCATTCCGTTTTCACGAAAATTCTATGCGGAATGTCCATATGGAATTAATATTATTGGAATCAGACGAAATCGTCTTTATTAATTTTTGATATCCACGTGGATATATTCCTATAGGAAAGAGTTCCTTGGAATTTCCGCCGGAATTCTTATTGGAAATTCCGAACTGTAATTCCAGTCGGAATTCCGACTGGAATCGTAATTCTAACCGGAATTCCGCCCGAATCCTGTTGGAACTTATCTAACCGGTATTCCATCCGAATCCCGTAGGAATTTTTAATCAGAATTCCATCCGAATCCCTTCGGAATTTTTGACCGGAATTCCATCCGAATTCCGTCAGAATTTCTGATCGGAATTCCAATCGGAATTTCTAATAAGAATTTCGAGGGAAATTATCCTATTACGACGAAATATCAATATCATTTCCGTTTCTATAACAAAATAGCTAAATAATCATTTCCGCCATAGGAAATTTCAAAGGAATTTTTTCTTTGATGGAGATTCTACGGAATTAATTATTGAAATCTAACAAAATTCTATCGTAAACGTAATTTCCGTCGTAAATTGAAATTCGAAGATATTGCCATATCCCTTCTTTTAGCGGAAATTTGAAGAAAATCCCGCGGAATTCCGTTGGTATAATTATTATATGAATCCCGGAAAAGTTCTTCTAAGGAGGATTCAGATAATTTCCATTTTAATTTTGCGGTTTTTCTTTCTTTTTTTAAGCGGAAATACAAAGGAATTCTACTATCTAAGGGATTTCCCTTCTTTTTTTTTAGCGGAAATACAAAAGAATTCTAACTTCAAGGGAAATTTGCATTAGATAACGGAATATCCGCAAGAAGTCTTTTTATTTTTTTTCCGACAATTTTAGTTAATATTAATTTTTCTATTTTCCTAAAATCGTTTTCGCCGAAAAAAAACCGCAATTCAAACTTTTGAAAGTGATGATACACACAACACGCTTGTTATGTACATGTCGAGAATCGCGCGGCTTAACGAGGGAGCGAATATCGTAGCAAACGGACCGACAAACATGTTAAGGTTTTAGTCGTATATAACTGGTGAACGTTGCCACGAGCTGCGTAATGCCTACCCACACACATATGCATTTACATATATACACTTGGAATATACATATATATATGTGTGTGTGTGTGGATCGAAGTGGCGCGCAACCGTTTCTTTCCTCAGTGGCTACGCGCGTATAATTAGACGTAATTAAGCAGACA